TTTTACATAGAATTATGAATATAAAATGTTATTATAATTTGAATCAATCACCCCCAAAAAAATCTTATGTGGCTTTACGCTAAACTTTGTTTTTATTTCTAGTAGGAAAACTGATGGTGGATATTTTTTTATATTTTCAAATCTATATAATTAAATTAAAAAATTGTATACATTTCCACAACAAAATAATTCACGATTTTTGAACATTTGACAGTTTTTAAAATTTTCGCCAAAATTGTAAAGAAAAAAAAATATGAACATTTATATCGTCTATACAGCTCAAAATTAACAAAAATATTTCGACAATTTTACCATATTTGGAAAATGCTAATTTAAATATTTGCCAAACATTTCAAACATCTGCAATTATTAATTTTTAAATTACAATAAAATAAAAATAATCAATTTAATTGAACTAAATGGTACTATTAATATTTCTGGATTTTCAGTATTTCACTGTAGTTTTTGTAGATTAATATGTAAAGAAGAAAGTAAATGATTTTTTACTTTTGATCCCCTTGAGTACCAACTAATTTCAATTTCCTACCAGAAACTACTCGTGTAGTTGAAAATGAAAGTGTTATTGTCTACTAATGTGTCTTCACATAAAAATTTTAAAAGACCTAATTTAGCAAAACCAATACATTTAGAAACTGAAACAAAAACTATAACTTGCACAATTCAATCCAATAACACAATACCTAAGTATTCTGAAAAAAGTCTTGAGATCATTTTAGATTCTGAGAGGAGCCATGAATGTATTGATTTTACAATGTTGTTTTTTTTTTTTTTTTTGTGTGTCCGTTACCATTGTTTGGGTCAGTTAAACTGCTTCGCGATTTTCTTCAACAGTATCTTTTTCGATAGGAAAGTGAATCTAATTTTTGCATTCAGGAGGTCAAAATTTAAAATTCCCTATAGTTTTCAAAAGTGCCCGGAAAAACTAAATAAACATTTAGGTAAAACGGGAATTTTTAAGCATAATCAGTTTTTGACAAAATCGATTTTGGTTTTTGGTAACTCTAAAACAAATAACCATATATTCATGACATTTTCACTGGTTGCTTATATTAGCATTCCCTATACAATATTTTGACATATTTTGAACTGTTAATGGACATTTTAGTACAATATGTCCACACATGGGTACAGTGGCGTAGCCAAGGGGGGGATGCCCCCCCATCAGCCTTATTTTTATTATTGTTTTTATATCAGTACGTCCATAGACTATAAAAAATATTGTTTATGACTATAAAAAGTATGTTTTTTTTTTTCAAAAAGTCGATTTAACATTATTTAATATTATAGCGATGGAAATGTCTATTACCTATAGCTGTGATACCTAGTGGCTAGTACGGTTACAAACGTGAGTGTGGTGATACAACATGGTATCACCACTTAAAAACACGTCTCAAAGTTACCAATTGTTTGGTCTAGGCAATCAGCCTTGAATTTTATATAATATGTTCCTTGCGGTAACTAATCGCTCTCGCGTTTCCATTTAAGAGGTTGAATAGTATTCAATATTCTATGAAAATGCATATTTGTATTTCCTGTAATATGGTTATTATTGAGCGGTTTGAGAGTAATTTTCAATATTGTAGAAGAGAAGTTAATCTTTGCCTGTATAGAAGTCAATTTTCGATATATATTAATTTTAAGTACCGAAAAATACTGAAAATTTTAATTACTGAACTCTATAATTCAAATTCAAAAATAGTAAAATATCAAAAGTTTTAGAGTTTATTATTGGACGTTGAAAACAAAATATCATAAAAATAGGAGTTAAAATATATGGGGGTGAGGGAAGGGCAAGAACTTATCCTGGGGGGCAGTCGCCCACCCTTGCCCCCCCTTGGCGTCATCCCTAAAGATCACTTACTACACATTTACACGACCCGCATATACATAAATAGGACATTTTCTATATTGTACTCCGGTATTCATATCCTTTATCATATTCATATATTTTATTCATTTCAGCAGGATGTATTTAGTATTATATGACGTGGTCACATAATAAGTATACATATTCTTTTTTTTATATATATAATGAAACAATATGATTTTAGTTGTTATAACATTTTTATGTTGACCCCCTCCCTTTTAGAAATCCTGGCTACGACACTGCATGGGTATTTAGTCCATACATGCAATTTTCACTAGTTGTTTATATTAGCATTTTTTATACACGATCAAATTTTCAAGTTATTTGGATTTGTTTTAAAGTATCAAAGTTTTTTGGATTCTGAGTGAAACGATGAATGTATTGATTTTACAATGATGTGTGTTTTTTTATTTTTTTGTGTGTCTGTCATCACCTTTTAGGACAGTGAAAGTGCTTGGATTTTCTTCAACAGTACAAACCCTTAAACAAATGACCGCTAGTACATGCAATTTTGACTAAATGTTTATATTAGCATTTTCTATACACCATACAATTTTCCAAATATTTTCACTTATTTTGAGTTGTTTACGGACATTTTCAGTTTCATTTTTAGTTTTTTTTTCTTTAAACATCAATAAAATTGTATTTGTTGGTTAAAAAAGCTTGACAATTTAATAGAAGGCTCCTAGTATATTGTTTCAAAGGCAGATAAAAAAATTAAAAATCCAGTCACGATTTTTTTTTATAAGCATTTAAAGTTCAAATATTGACAAAATATGGAAATATGACATTTCATATTCACTCGATTTCTCATGTAACGATTTTCTTATTTTGTTGTAATTAAAAAACGAATGACTGTAGATACTTGAAAATGTCACTGAATGTTTATATTAGCATTGCCTATACACCATACAATTTTGAAAATAATTTGACTCTTTTTGAGCTGTTTACGGACAATTTTAGTTTTCAATTTTTTTTAGTTTTTTTTTTTCTATACATTTTCATAAAATTTTATTTGTTGGGTAAAAAAGAGTAAAAATTTAATTCAAAGCTCCTGATATATTGTTACAATAGCAGTTAAAAAATATTAAAAATGCATATGCAAAATTTTTTTTATAACCATTTAAAGTTCGAATTTCGACAAAATTTATCAAATTTAAAATTTAATAATTATTTTGTAGTTAATAATTTATGAAAAGTTCAACTTTCATAACTAGAGATTGACAATTTAAAACAAGTTTCACGTAAATAGGTTATATATAAATGACTTTATTCACAATAATATCATCAAATATACTTAGTAATATCATAGGCTCACTGACAATTTTCGCTCAGAATCGTTTTTCTTATACAATGATATTATATCATCAAATTCAACTTCAAACTTGTAACCTACTGTACAGCAGAACGACTTTTTTTTTCTATGAATGTCAATAAAATTTTATTTGTTGGGTAAGAAAAGCTTGAAAATCTTATACAAGGCTATAAATATATTTTTACACTGACACTTGAAAAAATATTAAAAAACTAGTCACAATTTTTTTTTTATAAACTTAAAGTTTGAATTTTGACAAAAAGCGTTAAAATCACAAAAATGTGCACATTTTTTTGATTTAGAAATACCTAAACATTTTTTTTTTGAAATCTAAGATTTTTAAATTTAATACAAATTCCTTATACCTACCTTTAAAAAAAAAAATTTCTGAGAAAATCAAATAAATTTTTATGAGAGTTTGAAGTTCAAATTTTTACAACATTCGATATTTACTCGATTTCTCACTTAAATTTGACTGAATTTTTATATTTTCATTTTCTATGTACCATAACATTTTGACCGTTTTGAGCTGCATAGGGACATTATCAGTTTTCAATATTTTGTTTCTATAATTGTCAATAAAATGTTATTTGTTGGGTAAAATAGCGAGAAAATTTGATGCAAGGCTCTTGATATATTCCTATTGTAGCAGTTGAAAATTATTAAAAATACATTGGCACAATTCTTTTAATTAGCATTTAAAGCTCGATTTTTGATAACATTTATGAAATGAAAAATGTTTCAAATTTGGACGAAATTACATATTAAAAAAACCAAGAATAACGATTTTAGTTATTTTGTTGATAATATTAATTCAATTTAACGGCTACTCTATTAATAATAATTAATAAGTAATAACAATATAAATATAATATAAAATATCCACACTGAAAAACTGTCACTGCTCAGAATCGTTTTTCGTATACAATGAATAATGATATTATATCATTGAATTCAAATTTAATACCATCCATAGCAGAGCGATTTCCACTTACCCATCTTTTTGTATATATTTCTCTAATGGCCACAACAAAGTAAGTATAATATATTATATTATTATTGAAAATAATAGTTACTTAAAAACTTTCAATTCTTTCTGTAAGTTTATGACATACTAAGAATCTAATCTCACTTATTCACATACCTATGCTGTTTTAGGTGTTTCAGCAATCTTTTATCTTTATTGGAGTAAGTATCAGTAAGCCGGAATTATTTAGAAATTATTAACCTATTGCATATGTCCTGTGGTATAGAGTATAGCAATATAGAATACAACAGCCAGCAAACTTTACCACTTTACATCCAATTATTACACTTTAGTTGGTTTCTGCAAGGTTTTTATTAAATTACGATTTAAAACCTAACGAAAATCAGTGCTTGACATACTTTTTTCTGTAGTCTTTGGGGGATAAACAAATTTTCTCATATAAGAGTAACATAAAAAAAATATAAATTATAATATATAGAGTATATAGATTATTAAAAATTATTTACCTTATTATTATTCTAAATACTTTGATTACGTACTACATTTTAAAATAATAAAAAATGTTATAAACATTTTAATTAAAATTCTATCTGTATATTTACAAGTGGGGCATGGAGGTAATACATTATAGACACACTGGTTATCATGGAAATCAATGACATTTGAATTAAAATCGTGTTATAGTCAATGGCTATTAGTCATTGTGTTATAAATTAGAATTTATTGTACCTATATACGCTCTATACACATCAATACTATAAATGTTTAATCTACCTTGCTGATTATGGTAAGATGACTGAATTTCGTCGTCATGTGCACCGCAAGCTGTGCGGGAGCTTAGTCAGCTCGACGACCACCCCGGGCTCAGCCGGCCGTGGAATGTTTCCGAGTTGGTCGAGGCTGTTGCAGGGACCGTTCACTTGGTACGAGTCTGAACGCCATCTCAAAGCCGCCGCCGCTGGAGTCTGTAGATTACGCGATTGAACCGCCGACCGTGGTGACGACGAGTCAGCGAAGACACTTCCGTGTCTCCGGATGTACACGCCGGCCATTTTAATGTACACAAATATTATGAATAGCTGATAACTGCAACAGTGCAACGTCACGGCAGGTGATACGACGAGAATACACGGAAATTTCGCAGCAGACGTACACAGCCACCGGAATCGGAACGGCAGTACCTATTAAAGGTAACGACCGACGAGTATTTCGGAGACGGTTTTTTTAGTTTTTCGACGGCGATTCAGCAGCAATGACTGAGATATTCGACTTGATATTGGATCCGGCTGTCGCACGGTTAGCGAAATATTACCATAATCGGTGTATGAGTAAATAACTATAGTTATAATATACAGACCAATAACATGCTGAGTTTTTATACATAAAATATATTATTATGTAACGGAGCTCACGTATTATATTATATAATATAAGAATTGAAATTATTAGACTATACTTACCATCGGTCGTAATGAGCATACCAACAGGGTGATCCGTTCAACTGTTCGAGTTATTTTATGAAATTTAAAGTATTTATAACACTATCCGTCTATCCATACATACACCAAAAAAAAAATAAATAATATTTCACTATTTCTTATCAGATATTAAATTATTTGTAATAATTACCTATAATATAGTTTAACAATTAGAATCAAAATAATTTTCTAAAAATATGAGTTATAATATCGAATACTTATTGATAAAATATGATTTGGAGTGTTAAACCACAGTTATTGTGAGGGACCTTTTTCTATTATTCATAACATTATAAACAACTATTAATTATTTGATACTTATTCTATATTTTAAGAAAAAATGTTTTAAAAAAGTATTCTGCTTCTGATCATGAAAATATAAATGTAGATTGACATCGACAATTTAAAAAAAAAACAGCACACAATAACTGGCTTAGTAAATTAGTTTAGCCATGTAAATAGATCACCCTGTATACTTAGATATATATGCATGACGGCCGAATGCATTAACACGCTTAAAAATGTGTGACAGTAAAATATATGTCTTAATTCCGATTTGTTTGAGTACAATGCTTACCAAAATCAGTTATTGTTGAATGTCAATATCTATACAGGTACCTATGGTAGCTTTTTTCATGAGAAACATATTGCATCTTTAAAATAATTTGTATTCCATATTATACAATAATTATTACAACTATATTGTCTATTTTTAAAACTGTACCTTTTATAACCACCTAATTGTAATCTTGGTCAAAATTAAAATTACAATTCAGACTAATACACAATATATTATATACTCGGCCTCACAATTTCAGACAAATGTACGAATATAAAACAATAAATTAATGTACAAAAACCTTCATCAAACACATCTAACATCTACCTAACACGAGGATCAAAAATAACAGAATGTATAGAAACCTTTGAGAAATACTTTCTAACAATAACTAATATAAAATATAATACATTATTAAAAAAAAATTAACATTATTTTTAAAATTTTGTATTATTGTTTTCTCTCCATCTAGATATTTTATTGTAGGTATAAACTATTAAATAAAAAATAAAAAATGTATACTTATCGAACATATTGCTAATGATGCACAGGTTTTTAATATTAATAACAAGGCCATAAATATAATTAAAAAATCGGGTATGTAGGTAACGCTCTTTATTAACTCAACATAGTCACATAGATATTATGTTTTTGAGGATATAAACTATAAATGTTATTCCAATTTTTCGATAAAGCTACTGTTAAGAAATTGTTATTATATTTTATTTTATTACACTCGCATGTGTTGTCTATGTCTTAAAAATATACAAAATACAACTGGTAATTATGAGAATTATTGTAATATTTTACTAAAAATAATTGTTTTAAAATTTTAAATATCGTATGTTGAACTTATGCCCATTTTTAATATACATATTTTATTGGTGAGTCTATTCATAAATACATTTACTAATACATCACTGATTATATTTAAGACTAAAAGGTCAATAAGTAAATAACAAACATGTATTTTTCTCGTAATAATAAATACAGAGAATTATAATAATGAATCGGGCACAACCATAAATTAGTTATGAGTTTTATTTTAGTTACCCGAAACAATAAAAAAAACCAAAAAATATAAAATATTTACTCAAAATTGTGTAACTTTAAATGGGTTATATAACTATAATTAAATATTATAATTTCTAATAAATTATAAAATAATAATTCGTTTGTAGGTATATTTTTTAAGATTTTAAATTTCAAATATGTGGCATTGTGGCGGTCAAATGATTTTTTCGAGGGGAGGATATGGTAATTATAACATGCATTATTTGATTATTTAAAATATAATTTATGGTTATCAGATCTTAAACAATGAAAAAAAATTCGTGGGGGGAATTGTATACAAAACTTATATTATTTATTTACGATTTACCATATATTTTACTAATGACTTTTGTAACAATATAAAATATATTTGATGTTTGTTTAAGTTTTAAATTTTAATAAGCCTCAAAAATTCAAGGTATTGCTTAAAATATCAAAAATATAAAACGTTTTCAAGATAACTCCTAAATTGTATTAAGTTTTAATATATAAATTTATATAATACTATATTAATTTTAAATTTATTACATCTACTACGTATTTTATGCGCACTCACCTAGCTGTTTACCGTTTACGGCCTGTGTGGCTGTGTCCGAAAAAAATATATAGGTAGAACAAATTTAATTTAAGTACTTCAAACAATAGCATAACAAAATTATAATATTTTGAACTGTTAGCTATGATGGGCGCATTTCAAATGACGCATCAATAGTTAAATACCTATCTATTATGAAACTATAAACGCCGATTTAAATCTATCAAAAAAGGTGAAAATTTACAAAATTCTTGAACAATGTATGACGTTATTCAAAAATTAAGATGTTTATGATTTTAGATTTTGATAGTATCTTTATATTTTCATAAAATGTGCGCAATATTCTTTTAATACCCATATTATAGTATTATTCGCTTATTGTTCGCTGAATAATAGGTATGTCAGGTAGTATAATAATACTATACTAAATATTCTTTAAATTATAAAGAAAACTTATTTGTACAAAAGGTTTAGTATTCTTATATTCATTGTAGTATTGTAATTGTTATATTCACAATTCACAAGTAACTCCATAGAAGTAATATAATATATTATATAGGTAATAGGTTAATACTATAGTATTGTATATATACCTACTTAGTGCGTATATAGTTTTGTCTATTTACAGTTGAAAATAGTTAAGTACAGAAACGTATATCTATTATATTTCCAATTGACTACAAGGTATTATTGTTTTCATTTTTTCACTACGCTCTGTGGGTAAGTTATTTTGCACACAATTTTATAATTTTAACGTAGGTATAGTAAGATAATAGATAGTTATGTTTATATAATTTTTAAAAAAATGTGTTATTTTTTCAGGAACACGTTTTTAGGTGCTGTAAAATTAATTTAACTTCTGTAGATGAGAAATTCAACATTATAATATTATGCTTAAGAGGATGCTACCCATGCATTTGCTGTCTCCGTCTTACACATGTACTACATATTAAATTTTCGTTCACTACATTCAATAATGTGCTGTTAGTTTTTATATTACAGTGATTTGACCTACCTATTATCAATTTTTTTAGATAATAACATTATCTGTGCTTAAGCATTGGCTTTTATTCGATATTTTAATTTTCAAGCGAGATATGAGCATTTTTAATTTTTGATATTTCAAATACCCATATCTTGCTTGAAAATGAAAATTTCAAAAAATCAGCAACGCTTAAGCACAGATAATGTTTTTACCTAAAAGTTTTATAATAGGTCAATTCACTTTAGTATCAAAACTAAAAGCACACTATTGAAACTAGTGGATGACAATTTGCTATATCGTACGTGTGTAAGACGGAGACAACAAATGTATGGGTAGCATCCTCTTAAGTGGAAACGAATTTTCAACGAAAAAAACGGCGTAGAAAATAAAAAAGCAACAACGAATTTTTTTTTATTGGTATATATAATCTGTAATGGTATTTACAATAAGCAAATGTGCGAAAAAAAAATGTATATAATATACAATACGTGGAGACGTGAAGAAAGAAGTCACCCAGCAGAAACACTCAGAATATTGATATTAGGTAAATATTAAAGTTATTATTAAACGTAATTGCATTTCTATAATATTTATATATATATATATATATATACTATATAGGTACTTACGAGTTACGACTTACTAGAAACAGCAGAGACAACTTGAATACTTGAGTGTTATATGGATAAATAATAATATTATGTGAATTAAATATTCAAAATTAAATTTTCAATAAAACAGTAATATTTAAATTTAATTTTACATAATAAGCAAATTGAAGCATCTATATACCTCCAATAATCTATATAATAAAACACATTTCAAATATTAGGTACCTACCTATAATATAATACCTATTGTGTTTATTCATTAAGTATATATTATATAGGACATAGGTAAATAGGTACCTAAACGTCCTAAACGTTTTTACTTTTTCATAAATGTGTTTAATACAAATATTAAACAACTACTGTTCCAAAAATTAATTCTATTCGGTTATCATTATAGTTCAAGGTCTGCTATAACCTGCGTACGATTTTCATTCATAAATTAATATAGGCTATAGGCATATTATATATTTATACCTATAGGTACGTAATGTGTGTAGTTCCTTCCTATTTACAACAATTTGCTACAGACATTACCTATCATTGGAAATGCCCACATATTATACAACGATTTTGTTACTGTCAAAATCAAAACTAAATTCTTGATTTATAGTAAAAACTTATTCCTACATACTTATAGTAAAATATACAATACAATAAAATAAAACAAAACAATTTACTATAACGAATTGTGGTTGGTTTTTAGTCCACGAGGAGAGCAACATATAGCAAACCATTTCATAATACATCGCCTGTCCACGATACACTAGGTCAGATCGCCGTTGACGTATACTTCTCGCCACTCCCTCCTCAAAGTTATCTATCGCCGATCCGGTACCCTCCACCGGCCTATGCGTCTATGCCCGTGACCCATTCTTCCTGAATTTTCCTTTATCGTTATGCCTTTGATACCTACCATTTAACATTTTCCCATTTTAACTTTTTTAGATTCAAAGGGTATTATGATGAATGTATTAGTTTTACAATATGATGTGGCAAAAAAAAATTAAAGAAAACAGGAATTTTTACAAATGGTTTTTGATCAAAGTACTTGAAAATTGAATACGAGGTTCCTCATAAGTTCCTACTAGTGGCAATTTAAAAAAAAAGTTGTGCTTATAATACATTATTTCTGATAAGTTTTTATATCTTTCACAAAAAAAGTTTACCGGAAAGTCCAATTCATTTTTTATGAGCATTTGAAATTCAAATGGTTTGACATTATAAATATTCTCATCTTGGACATAATATCTGAATTCAATTTAAATGAAATTAATATTTGGTTTATCATGTTTATTTTATTAATGATAACCCACATATTTTGTTTTGTAGTGGAAAACAATATAAGATTCGAGTTGGTTGAAGTATAAATGTATAATATTACTTTTATTACATTGTAACCTACTGGCTAGATAGACTATAAGTGGCTACTATGTACAACAGAGTGACACCCACTTGGCCAACGGTATAGTCTTGTATTATGCATTCATAATAATATGAATATTTGATTTCAAATAAAACACCCGATTAATGTGCATCAGCAGTTAATCTGATAATCCACAAATATAACGGTCAATCGTACAATTTGTGGATTAATATAATTTAATATAGGTAGTAGGTTTATTGTATATTATATACCTACTATATATTCCATCAACTGATTTTATTTTTAGATCCTTTTTAAGTTATTCATTTTACAAGGTGCCAAGGTGGGTGCCTCCCAGTTAATTCGCATAATAATATATTTTCCATACAATATTGAATATTCTGTTAATTTCTATATATTTTCTTATTGAATACCTACCTACTGTAAACTTACTGTCACGAAACTGTATAAAATATTTATAATTATTCATCGTCTCAATGCACAGTTCAGGTTGTTAAAAATATATAGGTACCTCGTACCTATAGTGGCTAGTACCTATTTATAATTATTCATCGTCTCAATGCACAGTTCAGGTTGTTAAAAATATATAGGTACCTCGTACCTATAGTGGCTAGTACCTACTACCTTGTGATTATGTTCAAATCAAAACTTATTGGCAAATTATCGTTATATAGGACGCTTAACAATGTATATTACCTACACTATACTATTATACACGACCATACAATGTTAAAGTAAATTTTCTATAATTATTTTTTCTAAGTATCAATTTACAACGCATGGGAAATTAACACAATACCTATGTATAGGTACTTTCACACAATCATTCGGAACTATATGGGAAAATTAATTTGTTTTTTCACTACAGAACGGACGTGGATTGAAATGAATTGCAGCCAACCGTTTGTCAAGTCGCAGAAACGTATTTGGATTTTAGACGTCGGCGAAAGTGGTTTGACTTCAATACTTTAATACTGTGTATAAATGCGTGCTGGTGAGTATTTGTCAACTATAATATTATAGGTACCTATATTATATTATTTCAATTTTTAATATATAGTTCATATTATAAACTATTTTTTTTAATATTGCCCATTGGATTTACGTACCAAACTAATCAATGTTTTTTTAATCCGCAGTTGATTTAATTTTTCTTAAATCAACTGGTAGGCATACTACAGCAGTCTATAAGATCGGGGAGCTACCATTTGGACGTCATAATCTTCAGGATTATATATAGGAACCTATTACATAGGTATTTAGCGTAAATCGGTAAATCGGCATGTGTGTTGGCGCATAGGTATATTATTTTATTTAAATTTTTTAATCTTACATGATTTATAGAAATTGACAAATTATTGCCGACGTTATGATGACTTATTCGGTGTCGTCGAACAAGAAACACGATCTATCGAATAGTAAGTATACATTATTATGATGGGTATTAGTAAGTACTAAGTGTTACCACAATTGTATTATTCCTATAAGGCTATAATAATTGTATACAAAAACATATTGTAGGTTTTACTGTTGTTTTTTTTACCTATTTAGTAATTTATGAATTTAATATAAGAATATTTTATTAATAATCTAACTTTTGGAGAGCCATATTAGTAATTTAGGACATTTTTGGGCTCATACAAATTCAATGTAGGTACCTATTTAGTGTCATGGTACTTAGTATTTATTATTTAACCAAAAAATGTAATTACAAAATAAAAACTTCGTTTAATTCAGTATACTGCAAAACTATAATTAAAAAATTAATTTCTTTTTCGTGGACCAGATACAATTATTATTTATTTGTCTTCGAGAAACCATTAGGTGACTCCTGAAGTCCAGAGTCCTGACTAATAGAAAAGTAGAAAACCTCATAGAAAAAACATAATCATGCACTTTTAATAATCATTAATATTATCTCAACAGTCACAATGTAGGATAAGGCTCTGGAGAAATTACATACAATAATGCATACCTATTACCTCTTGGTAGTAGGTACCTACTGAAGTAGAACCAGTAGCTTACAATTGTTCAGTATTAAGTAGGTAGGTAGGTAATAATAAGTGGCAATCGGGATAGTCAACTTGCACTTACTAGGTACCTAAAAAGCAATGGTCAAATTGCACTTGGGTTCAAAAAAGGTAATGGTCTAACTCAGTGTTCGGAACTTTCACTAAAAAAATGAACTCGTTCACGTTCACGCCGTTCAGTCGTTAAAAAAGGAACTCGTTCAAGTTCACGTTCGTGTTTATTTCAAAAGAACACGCTCATAAAGGTCGTTAATTTAATTTATTTTTTTTATGAATCGTTAGCCTGCAGTTAAATAAACAGCCATAAACATATACGACTCAACCAAAAAATAAAAATACAATTTATAAAGTAGGTATCTGAATTAATTTTTAATACCTGAAATGTTATTTGAGTTACATTATGATAAGGATTTCCTAGTGATAAAATTAAGCGAATACTAGGATACTTGTTATGATAAACCGATTAGGTTTATTACAAATTCGTGGAAATCATAATATTATTGTTGTTGTATGTCTAGCCGGGGTCACTGGAATTTCACGTATTTAATTTATATATTTTGCAATCAAACAAATATTATAGGAATTATAATGGGAAAAATGAAAATATTATTATTATAATATAATTAATTAATATATTTTATACATATTATAATATTTATTAAGTGGTAAATAAATTGAACGTCTTAAAAATCGATCAAATTCATTAAAAATATAAACGTCGTTCACTATATAATGAACAACGTTCTTTCCAAACACTGGTCGAACTGCACTCGGGTAAAAAGCAGATAGTTAAAATTTAAGGTCACTATGGACGTTCACATTTATTATTATAATAATATTTGACAGTACAAAAAAAAGGATTACAAAAAAATATATATGTTATGACTACAAAAATTATCAAACTTAGTTAGGTATAAAAAAAAAAATTATAATAATGACAATAATAATATTTGATGATTTAATATAATATGTAGCCATGTAGGTAATAGGTATATATAATATTATATTAACATATTGGACAATGGTATGTATAAAACAATAATTTTTAACTACGCCAATGATAAAAACCATTTCCCTGTATCTGTTAATTTTAATTGCCTAATATTACAATTATTTATATTAATATAATAATATTAAATACAATGTAGATATCCCAGTGATATGCAAACACTCAAGCTTCGAAGGCCTAATGTGCTCATGATAAAAAGCTAAAAACTCTAATACAATTCGCATTTTCGGGTAGATACCTCATACCTAAAGATAATACATTTTGTTGCATACCTACTTGCATTGTCGTCCGTCGAGAGGCTTACGTATTACATATTTAGGTAGGTTTTATTATTATTTATTATATTTTTATTAATATTTAATTGATTGTATATTATTCTACACCTGATACCTGAATACTTATGTAGTTATGTTCAAAACTCTAAACACTTACGTCCGGAGAACTAAGTTGGTGTTTGGTGATTTAAAAGATAGACTCCTATTCTTACCTATAACGAAATAACTCGGACGACGGACAGTCGGACCGATCAACAGAGTATCATATTCTGTGGTATCATACATATATTGTTATCATTCATACAGCTGGTGTTTTGTTATCAGTTATCGTTCAAAATACGTGACATAATTTGTTGATAAATAAATAGTTACTTGTCAAGTTTACTTTAATAATTTAATTTTGATCATTAAGCTGCATCTTTGGTGAATTCGTTTTTAATACTTAAATTATTTAATAATATTACCTGCTATATAAACGCTTATATGCGAACGAGGATATAGTGTACGAAGTTTTTAAGTTAAGTGCATTCGGACTATAAGTGGATCAATCGCCAATCGTGTGTTAAATTAATATTTTTTCGCTCAATTTAAAATTGTTGACTAAATAGTTTGTATTTGCAAAAATAGTAAATTATTTTTATACGCTTTGTATATCGTTAGCCAGCTGAAAGACTGAATTACTCAGGTTATTTAGTTTGTCAACATTCCACTGAGATCATAATATTATATTGTTAGTACTTAGTAGTTATCATGTAGAAGACGCCACGCTACAAGTAGTCCTTTTTTCTTTTCAAGTATGGACTCGATTGTCTCTAACAGTAGCGAGTATGATCAATCCATTGACTGGGTACCATTATCTCTGACGTTTGTTGAATATCCAAAAGGTGAGTGAATTAGCAGTTGTGCGCTACGTAAATTGTACATACCTATCATAATACATGTTTACACTGACTCCAGAATATGTTTCAAACGTCCCATGAGTGTTACAGAAATATTGATTTGATCGATGTACTACTGTAACTCAAATTATTTAGTTTGTCCTTTAGACATTTTTATAATCTGTGCCGTAATTGCGGAGAATCTAAGTCACAGTAGTATAAATAAAGATAATAAGATCACTTGAACTTCTTAATGGTTGGATTCAATTAATCCTTTATTATAGAAGTGGTTTTAAAATCAAATATAGTTTTATATATTTAATAAACAATATCATTGTGAAATTAACAGGTTTATTTTTTCAAAAGTATCCATCTTCAAAAAGACTGAATAAAGTGTTTTACATATTAATATTACATATATATATTGTTATTATAAAAAGAAATTAAAGTTTTCTTACAACAACTGCTGGAACACTTTTTACAAAGTATTCTTAAAAAGTGAAACAATCAAGCAAATTAAATATTTATAACCTAAACTTATAATATAAATTAATATAGTAAATCTCATATTTATTCATGTTTGGCACAAAATTAACTTGAAAAATTATAGAATTTAATTAATTTTTCACTCATTTACAATTATGGTCTCTGTGTTCGTAGGGTAGTCATAAATAATATATGTATTCAACTCAACTTTTGTTTCAACAATTCAGGGCTGATGTAGTAATATTTTACATTTTTATTACACACTATAGAATGCATAATACATACTGCTTACTATACACTTGTATCCAAATTTATAACGAGTAGGTAAGTTGCGTTTAAAGATTAAAATGTGCCCAAGATAGTCGTATTTTTTTATTTTCTATTTCTTTATCGAAAATTTTTTATTTATATTTGATTAAATATATTTAACAATAATTAAAAAAAACAACTTATTGCTTATGGGGCAGAGTCCATTGGGTAAATTCTTGGTGGGCCAATGCGTCCTTGGACAGTACAGATTTAGCAGTAAGTAACAATATCAAAATCAACAAAATACCACTATACCAAATATTTTTAATGTATATTAAACAATATTAAATCAACCAACAATCAGTCATTAGTTTTCGTGATTTTGTGACTCACATTTCAATAATATTAATTTGTAGGTTATCCATTCAATAATAATATTACAGTTTTAATCATTTATTTGTTATTTTTAAATATTCTTTTACACTTATTGATTAACATATTATACCTACCTACCTACCTAATAATTTTATTTTTATGTTTAAGGGAATATATTTGGAAAATTATTGGCACTGTTTAGTTTGACACCTTTTGTGATTCTGTCTGGTTTTATTTCTTTAATTCTATTTCGTCGAGATTTACATACAGTAAGTAAACATTTAAATTAATACTATCATTACTTATATTCTGTCTATAGTATTTTTTTTTTTTTTTAGATAACTTTTTTCTTTGGTGTGTTACTCAATGAGATATGCAATACAGTTCTTAAACATATATTACGTGAACCTAGACCCTTAGCTAGAAATACAAATTTGTTGTACTCTGAATATGGCATGCCTTCATCTCATTCTCAATTTATGTGGTTTTTTGCATCATACATGTTATACTTCACATTTATAAGGTATAGTTCCAATAAATATAAAGAGTAAGACTGGTTTATAATAATTTTAATTGTTTAGGTTACAGTATGCTAACAGCAAGGCATTTAAAGAGTTTTTCTGGAAAGTTGCTGGAGCTGTATCATGCATTGCTATTGCCTGTATAGTTTCTTATAGCAGGTATTTAGACAACAGTTACTGTATTATATTATTATAATTTATAACATTATAATTATATATTATTTTTAATACACGAGAGAGTAGATGAAAATTTAAATTTTTCAAAAAAGAATTATAATTCATTTTATACCTACATATGATTAATGATATGACTATGGTCTTACATGTTTACCGACCTCTTCATAGTATGACAAATAATCTCAGGAATATAATATCATAATATACAGTAGTGGTGAATGAAATTAAAACTAGCAGTTCAAATAATTTCGATTGACCCACCCACTCCTTCAAACAACTGAGAAATGTGTTTACCTATTTATGTGTAAATAATTTAATGACATTCCTGTATTTGATAAAAAATTATAGCAGAAAAACAAGGAAGTATACTTTATTATTTACCCATCTACTACTCAATTTTTAAGGAAGTTCAATTAAACTACCACCTGAAGTACATGTTCAGTGCTACTGATTGCATGTATAGCAATGTTTGTAACAATTACTTCCTACTGTTTTCATATTATTAAATTGGTTTTTATGCTATATCTCCCCTTTCTCTTAATTACGGTACCTAACATGTAGTTGTTGCATTTTTTATTCTACTATGGTTTTTGTTCATAATCTAAATTACAATTATAGATTTTAGATTACAATCAATTTCATGGTTGGTGTAGTAAAATATGTATATTTAATATGATAATTTTTGTTTAATAATATTTTAACATGTTTTTGTTATTACCAACATTATAACGGTTTTACTTTTTTAGAATCTTTCTACAATACCATACATGGAAGCAAGTAATATATGGAGCACTATTTGGTATTATTATAGGGACTATTTGGTTTACCATAATTAATGTGGTATTGACACCCTATTTTCCAACAGTTATATCTTGGTATGTTTAATTATACAATTTCATATTATATAATTTTATCAATTTAAAATAATATATTTATTTACTTAATGTTTTATACAAAATAACACTAGTGATTTTTTTTGTAAAAATTATAGACATCATCAGTATGTTCAATCTGGAGTATGGATTCTACTACTGTGTCCAACATTAGTTTAATTTATTATAATTATTAATTTGCTTTGGCCTTGAAACTTACTTGAGTTCTATGAAGTGCTAAAATAATTTTTGTTTGTTTTGCTTTGAAATACTTCACGTATTTACATCTTCATCGGCACATATTATGATACCATGTTTATTTCAATAATACATTTAAAAATTAAATGTACCATATTCTACCATTCAAAAATGTGTTTGATGTCTAGTTGTTTTGTCTCCAGATTTTAGTGTTGAATAATACAAACATCATACATACTAAAAGCTTATTCATTGAACTATCATAAGTTTATAACAATGTTAAATAAAAAATATATATATATTAATAAATGTTAAATACTATTTATTACATTAAAGATTAAACTATAGAAACCTTACCAAAAAATAATGTACATTAATTAAATTATTATTAGAAACAATTTTATAATCGTTAAAGATTTAAACTAGGGCTGGCGGTATTTTCAGTTATTTTAGAATAACAGTATACTGTAAATCAGTAAATACCGTAGTTACCGAAAATACCATGCCAAGGTAATTACTGAAAATACCGTATATCTACTTGTATTATTTATTATTTTTTTATCAACGTAATGACATAATATAATAGCTCTATCCCAGTTTGGAAACTTAGAAACACTAACAAATTTACCGAGGTATGGTATTTTTCATAATTATCGAAGTACGGTATTTTTTATGATTACCGAAAATACTGTATAATTGATAATACCATAGATACCGGTAATAAACAAATACCGGATACCGGTATCAAAATTTAAAATACCGCCAGCCCTAATTTATACCAACTATAAAGTGTAAAGAAATATAGATGTTATGGTTTAATCCATAAACAAAATAAAATATACTGAATAATAAAATTCATATAGTTATACTTTTATTAACTAACTTGATTAATGAAAAAAATGTCCAGTACCTACATTATATTAAAAATATATTTATCAAGATATATTAGAGTAATAATTTTGTAGTGAATTGTATAAAATGAATAAAGATTATGGATAAAAAAAAATTAAAATAAAGTTGTATGAATATTAGTTGATTTATTAAGCTCGGATGGGTACGCATTTTTATATTTTTACGGGTTGATCGCACTGTATTATTAGTAAACACAAAATATGTTTCATGAAATGATGATAAAACTACAAAAAAATGTTTACTTTATTATTTTAACATTACACAGTTCTAAGAGCATATTTTACGATATTTTAAGATCATATTTGGTCGTTTATGGCATATTGCTGTACTATTTTGTATTTTGAGTGAAAACAACATACAATGTTTCGAAAATAAAAATAAAGATTTTAATTAAGACTGCAAAATCACTATAAGCTAAAAAAAATAAATTCAAAGTCTACCTACCCCGTTGTTTTTTGGGGGAAGGAGGTGAATTATAAGCTACACAACAAGAAGTGAACAAATAAATACTACCTATACAAATACATTTTATATTAATTTAAACATATTTTATAATTTTTTGGTACATGTAATTCCAACACCTATTTATATTTTATTTACAATAGGAAAAAAAAATAAATTCAAAGATAAAACAATAAAAATGTATTTCCAAAGAGCCACTATAATACCATACAAGTTTAAAATATTGATAGGTTCTCTGTAATATGTCAAACTATTATATTAACGTTAATTTAAGTTTATTTAAAATAATCATGCAAACAAATATATTTATTCTTGAATACAAATATTTATATTCTGTATATTATATTAAAATGTTTTAAGTTCTAACTGTAATAACTAATAACAGGCTTATTTTGTCAGTGGCGTCAATCCCTATGTTTGGGTATGGTGGATGCAAGGTGGGTGGTAGGTAGTGCCCTGGTAATTGGTGGCGGGTGGTACACTGGTACATGGTTGTGACTTTTGGCCTGTGGGCCGTGAGTACCTTAGATCATGATCTAAGATGGGTACTATAGAGGTATATTCATACCATATGAAACTATGAAAGTGACATCGGTGCCACTGTATTTTGTTATTCAATAAACTGTACATACATTTACAATGTTCTTCATATTAAATTATTTTTATCATTTAAATTATAACTAATGATGCTATTTTTAAATCTTAAATCATTTTTCTATTTTAAACAAATAAAAATACATTTTTTTTTTAACTTGCCTTATTATTTTATTGTATATAATTGAGCGTCTTTTATCTGTAAAACTTAACTTTTTGTTATATATTATATTAAAAATCATTTGACATTATATGATTAACAAATTATAATAAATAAAAAAAAATACAAAATCCCTCATCGGTTTTAATTAGGTTAGATAATTGACGCTTCGCTGTGGCTTGTACTAGTGGTCTAAAAAGAATGAAAACTATAATATTTAAAAGTTTCCTATCTTTTTTAATACACTTTATAAATTAATGTGTGTGCAATATTAAATGAACATCTTTAATTGTATTGATTGATTTTTTTTTCTTCTTCTGGTAATATGGGTAAAACTATGCTTTAGTGTGTTGTTAGTTAAAAATTTAAGTATTTGTTAAAATAATGTATTCTTTTTTTTATTTAGGAAAATATCAGAACTGTTTTTGTTGAGAGACACTACGTTAATTCCCAATGTCTTATGGTTTGAATACACAAATATTCGTCATGAAGCAGGAGCTAGAGCCAGACGTCGAAAATCGATCTCAGCAAAATCTCAATGACTAATATTTTGAATGAATTAGAATGCATTAAAATAATATGACTAACCTGTCCAAGCATTTGTATTTATGTGAAATAATAATGCACAGTATACTATTATTTTTATAATATGTGTTGTTTGTGACATGTTTATGTATGATTATAATAACTAAATAATTTGTTAATTTATATTTTATAATATCTAATAGGTACCAGGGTATCCTGGTTCTTACTGTTTTATAAATACCACGAAAATTCAATTTATTATTTAAAATTTTCAGTATGTTTAAATTAATTTTGAATAGTATGCACTCTATAAATACATTATTATTAATTTAAACATAATAATAACTTACACAAGTACAATCATTTATTTCAATTTTATTATAAAACGTTTGAATACACTCAACTAGTTACTAAATTAATTTTATTCTGTTTTGTAAAACAGAGTTAAACTTTAAATGTCAATGTTGAATTTAACTGTTAATTGCAAAACTATTTTAATTAGGTTAAACACACATTTCTATACTGAATAATTTAAAATATATTTAATAACATTAATTTAAATTACAATTTTTGATGATGTGATTTATTATATATATAAATAATATGTTTAAGTTTGTTCACTAATTTGAATGTAGTTATGTATACAATATATTTTAGAATAATATTGTTAGAAATGTTAAAGTAGAGCATTGATTTTCCACACAAATTTGTTTTGATTGAGAGAGTAATTTGTATGAATAATCAAATAATGGTTATAAATGTACTATTATTTATAGTATTATATTCTCTGTATGGTGTACAGCTACATGTATAATATCATTAAGCAAAATATTATTTTTTAAATACATTAAATCATAGTATAAGTGTTTTTAAATTTAATCATTTTTATCAAATAAATGTACAATTTATTGAGTGTAGTAGCATAATATTATAGTATAAAATATTTTGTTGTGCCTGATAAATGTATTTTATTACATTTAGTAATACAATTTTAAAATTATAAAATGTATAATAATGCAATAATATGTATCATGACTAGAACTAAGTGTGGATATATAAGGAAAGCGCTGTGAAAACAGTTACTCCATCGTCATCAGTTCAAAAAGGAAAAAAATAAAAATGGTAGATCTATTAAAGATAAATTGAATCACTGATTGATTAAAAGTATCTATTCTATTAATTTCAATACAATTTTATTATGACAATATCAATTTATTGGATATGATAAACTTATAGAACAATTTATCGTGCTTTTAATATTATATAACAATTATATAATATACCTATCCAATTCCGATATATTACACATGAATATGTATTTAATAATTAAATATTATGTTTACTAGAATGTCTCTATGATTGTTTCATTATTGTAAAATTATTTATTATTATCAATAGGTATTGAATATACCTAATATAATATTTAGGCTAGAGGTCCTTGCTCGTTCAGTCGACAGTTGTTTGTAAATCACACGTTACTTTTGTAATTATTATAATAGTTTGTACTATTAAGTGTATTTGTTATATAAAGAGCATTTATTATCGTACAATGTTTAAGATTAATTTTTGAAATTTTAAATGAATCATATAGAATGTACCAAATTGATTTAATACATTTTTTAATTCTTCATTTGCTCTATTAATAATTATTATTGGAAGCATTTTATTTTACATACTAACTACATCTAACAAAAACAATTTCTATTTTAAATTATATTTACTTTGCAATTGATTTTGTTTTCTTCGATTCTCTTCAATATATCTTGTTCTATGGGAAAGTGAATCTAGTTTGTGCATTTGAGGGGTCAACACTTAAAATTCCCAGTATTTTTCAAAAGCGCCCTGAAATACAAAATAAAAATTAAGCTAAAATAAGAATTTTTAAGCAAAATCGGATTTCGGTGTTTGGTGTAACTAAAACAAATGGCCATAAAAAAAATTAAATATTCACTGGTTGTTTATATTAGCATTTTCTATAAACGATAAAATGTTCAAATTATTTGGATTTGTTTTAAACTCTTTACGGACATGTTCAGTTTCAAATTTTTTTTAATTTTTAGATTCTGAGTGAAACGAATATATTAATTTTACAATGATGTGTTTTTTTATTTCTTTTTTGTGTCTGTCATCATCTTTTAGGACAGTAAAAGTGCTTGGATTTTCTTCAACAGTATCTTTTCTGATAGGAAAGTGAATCTAGTTGGTACTTTGGGAGGTCAAAAATTTATAAAATGTTCAACTTTTATATCTAAGGATTGAAAATTTAAAACAAGATTCCACGTAAGTTGTTAATTCTGTTACCAAAAAATCTAAAAAATACACCATCACAGTTTATTTTTATAGTCATTTTAAGTTCAAGTTTTTACGAAATAACATATTAAAAAACATAGAATAACTATTTTAGTTATTTTGTTCTGAGTGTATAATATTATCCGTGAGTACTTTAAACTTCTAAAGTACACAATTATATATCTATGATAGTATCAGGGTTTGTTGTTGATGTATAACGCGCAAGCCCGGATTAAGACATTTTGAGGCCCAAGGGCCAAAGTTTAAATGAGGCCCCTGTACGAAAAAAAAAATAATGTATATTAATATTATATAGGTACCTGTTATAATAAATATATATAGGTATTAAGGTACATAGCAATAAATCAAGAATTAAGTATCATTTTATTTATAAATTATAATTTACAAGCTTTTTTCCTCGCTAAATAATCATCGATTTTTTTAAAGTGATTTATGCGGTGTTATAGCCTATAATGGAAAAATCTGAGGCTCCTAAATAAATGGAGGCCCGGGGGCCATGGTCCCCCCTGGACCCCCCCTTAATCCGGGCTTGTTATTTATAAGTACCTAATGGATATTGTGATATGAATAATTTGTAATTTATTAATATTATAGGTAAATATTATAAATCAATTTTTTTTAATACCATAGTTATGTATATAATATGTCTTAAACCTAGACTGACATACCGTCCCCGCTCAGAATCGTTTTTCTTATACAATGATACTATATCATTGAATTCAAATTTAATACCGTCCATTATACAGTGACCCACTTGTAACCTACTGTACAGCAGAGCACCTTTTTTGTCTATGAATGTCAATAAAGTTTTATTTGTTGGCTAAAAAACTTGAAAATGTAATACAAGCCTCCTAATGTATAGTAATATATTGTTGCAATGGCATTTTAAAAATCATTAAAAATCCTTAGTCGCATTTTTTTTTATACCTAAGCATTTAAAGTTCGAATCTTGACAAAAATAAATATGGAAAACCCACGAAAATGAGCAAACTATTTGGAGTTAATAATTCATAAAATGTCTTTCTTTTTAAATCCAAGATCTCCAAATGTAATACAAGATTCTTCATAAGTTTGTTAACCTAACCAAAAAAAATGTCAACAAGAAAATAAACATTATATTTTTATGAGCAATTGAAGATCATATATTTACAAGATATTCACTCGATTTCTCGTGTAGCGGTTTTGTTATTTTATTGTTATTCAAAAACGAATAACTGTAGATAGGTACATGCAAATTGTACTGAATGTTTGTATTTTCATTTTCTATACTCCATAAAATTTTGAAAATATTTTGACGCTTTTTGGGCTGTTTACGGACATTGTCAGTATTCAATTTTTATGGTTTTTTTTCTATAAATATCAATAAAATTTTATTTGTAGGGTAAAAAAGCTTAAATGCCAATGCTCTTGATATATTCTTTCAATAGCAGTTGAAAAATATTATAAATACATAGTCACAATTTTTTTTAAAAAGCATTTAAAGTTTGAATTTTGACAACATTTATGAAATAATTATTTTGTAGTTAATAATTTATAAAAAGTAAAACTTTTATAAGTAGCTAGAGAGTGTTTTAAACTGTACATTTTTAAATGATCATAAATTACTTAAAAATAATAATATTTATAAAATCCTCCGGGATGCTCTAGATAATATTCTTACAATATTACCTTTAAATTTTTAAATTATAATTTCACTCTAATTTTAGATTCTGAGTGAAACGATGAATGTATTGATTTTACAATGATGTGTGTTTTTTTTTATTTTTGTGTCTGTCATCACGTTTTAGGACAGTAAAAGTGCTTGGATTTGAATCTAGTTGGTACTTTGGGGGGTCAAAAGTAAAAATCTCAGTAGTTTTTACAAGCGCCGGGAAAAACAACATAAAAATTAAGGAAAAACGGGAATTTTTACGCAAAATCGGTTTTCCAAAAAATCGATTTTGGTTTTTGTTGTAACTCTAAAAGAAATGAACGTATATACATGAAATTTTCACTGGTTGTTTATATTTGCATTTTCTATACACGATAACATTTTCAAAATATTTTGATTTATTTTGTACTGTTTATGGACATTTTCATTTTCCATTTTTTTTTAGTTTTTTTTCTAAAAATATCAATAAAATTTTATTTGTTGGTTGCGAAAGCTTAAAAATTTAATAGAAGGCTCCTAATGTATTGTTTCAAAGGCAGATGAAAAATATTAAAAATCCTTAGTCACAATTTTTTTTATAAGCATTTAAAGTTCAAAAATTGACAAAATATGGAAAAATCACGAAAATTAGCAAATTATTTTGAGTTAAGAATTCGTAAAAATTTTTCTTTTTAAATCTAAGATTTGAAAAAGTAATACAAGATTCCTTATAAGATTATCTACCTTTATCAAAAAAAAATGTCTATAAGAAAGTCAAATTAAATTTTTATGAGCGTTTGAAATTCGAATTTTTACAACATTGAATATTCACTCGATTTCTCATGTAGCGATTTCCTTATTTTGTTGTAATTCAAAAACTAATAACTTTAGATACATGAAAATTTCACACTGAATATTTATATTAGCATTTCCTATACACCATAAAATTTTGAAAATATTTTGACTCTTTTTGAGCTGTTTATGGACATTTACAGCTTTCAATTTTTTTTAGTTTTTTTTTCTATAAATATCAATAAAGTTTTATCTGTTGGGCCAAAAAGTGTAAAAATTTAATACAAGGCTTCTGATATATTGTTACAAAAGCATTTGAAAAATATTAAAAATACATATGCACAGTTTTTTTTTATAAGCATATAAAGATCGAATTTTGACAAAATTTATCAAAATCTCGAAAATTATCAATCATTATAATTAATAAATTATAAAATGTTCAGTTTTTATAGCTAAGGATTGCAAATTTAAAACAAAGGTTCTCATAAATAGTTCATACTGTAACCAAAAAATCTAAAAAATATATGAACACAGTTATTTTTTACAGACATTTTAAATTAAAATTTGGACGAAATTACATATTAAAAAACCTAGAATAACTAATTTAGTTATTTTGTTGTGATTGAATAATATTATTCGTGGGTACTTGAAACTTCTAAAGTGTACTATTATATATCTATGATAGTATCACGGTTTTTGTTGATGTATAACGCGTAACGCGTTATAAGTATCTAATGGATATTGTGATATGATTAATTTCGAATTTATTATAGGTACCTATTATAGGTCAATTTTTTGTTTAATACCATAGATATGTTTATAATATGTCTTATACATAAACTGACATACCGTCTCCGCTCAGAATCGTTTTTCTCATACAATGATATTATATCGTTGAATTCAAATTTAATATCATCCATTATACAGTGACCCACTTGTAACCTACTGTACAGCAGAGCGACACCCACTTGCCCACCAATTTTAGAAATGACAGGGTAAAATGTGTTATTGTAAACGTAAAATTTTCCAAGGTTATAACAATATGAACTTCAAACGCTCATAAAAATTTAATTTGACTTGCTTTTAGCTATTTTTTTTTGATAAAGGTAGTCTATCTTAGTACCTCATGAGAAATCTTGTATTACTTTTTCAAATCTTAAATTTAGAAAGAAAAATTTTTATGAATTTCTAACACAAAATAATATCCACATTTTCGTGAATTTTAAGTATTTTGTAAATATTTGAACTTTAAACGCTTATAAAAAAAAATTGTGACGGGATTTTTAATATTTTTCATCTGTCTTTGAAACCATAATATAATATTACTTATTAGGATCCTTCTATTAAATTTTCAAGCTTTTTTACACAACAAATAAAATTCTATTGATATTTATAGAATAAAAAACTAAAAAAATCGGAAACAGAAAATGTCTGTTGTAAACAGCCGAAAACAAGTGAAAATATTTTGAAAATGTAGGTCAAATTTGTATAAGAACTAACAGTTATATAATTATTATATAATGAATTGTACAATAGTCACAAGTATTGAATTTGTGGTGATCCAAGCCCGGATTAAAGGGGGGCACGGTCCCGGTGCCCATCTTTATCCCCAAAATAATTTTTTTAACGCATCCAATAAAGTTTTCAAAAAAGTATCTTTAATCATGGTAGGTATAGTAGGTAAATTATTATTACTAATTATAAAATAAAATTGTTCTCAATTTTATATCACAAAAAATTAGTATAAATAATGAACTATGTTTGACACCAATTTCGTTTGTTTTTTTTGAACATTTTAGATTACCGATTTAACTGTTTAAGTATATAAAAATGTAGTTAAAAGAAAAAATTATTTAGCTCTTGTAAGTTAGGTATTTCAGTTACAAGTGTTAATGGATATTATACTAAACTTTAGAGAACCATAGTTAATAACCTTTAGCGAACCAAAATTGATCATTTGACCGTCAAAATGTTCAGACAAAAATCATTAGGTACTGGAATCCATCAAAAAAAATAAAGTCGATTTTATTATTGGTACAACTGCGAGTTTAAAAATTTTTAAAATGTAAAAAATTGCCCGTTAAAATTAAAGAAACGCTTGTCTTTTTTGTTTTAACGAAATTCCACATCATCGATCCATAATTGTTACAAAGAACCCGCGTACAATGACATAAGATACACCCTGTATATTTTTTTGTATATTGAGTTTTACCACTAAGTGTATAGTGTCCCGGGGCCCAATTGATCCTTAATCCGGGCTGGGTTAGATCTAGAATTCACGGTACCCTTGACGCCCCCCCCCCTACTGTGGCTCGACTGCTCAAATCTTTGTACATTAAGTTGCCTATTTGCGCCTGTAAACCGTCTTCCTTCGTCTACAACTGCGTTCATAGCGATGACGATCAGTGACGACGATAAATCGTTTTCGCGTCTCGTCGGCTCGCGGATTATTATTGTAGACGTATTAATTAATTTATTATTATAGGTACCGACATTATCGCCGCCGCCGTCGCTGGTAATCTCATAATCTGTCCACCTGCTCTCGTATCTAATATTAGGTAATTGCGTGTGGCCGTGTGGGGTTTCCATAACGTTATATTATTATAAATTATTATCGAATATCGTTGCATCTCCTCTCCTCCACACACCAAACAGCACACAGCCGTAATACCGATTACAATAATATTTTACTTTCGCCGCGAAACGTTTTGACAGTGAATAACCGAAAACCGCCGTGCAAATGAGTCTGTCGATTTGAGTTTCGTCAAAAACATATTACTATTCGACTAGGTATATAGTAGGTGCATATATTATATATATATATATATTTATTATATTATATACATATATAATATATTGTATACATAATATTATTATTTATTTTATTACCCGTTGAAAAATAATCCACGCTAACTCGATCAGACAATGTAATAATATGTTATTGTACATTATACCTAATACGTTTCTGACGGAATAAAATCGATCGATCGTAATACACTCAATTATTGTTGGTAATATTATTATTCCGATAAATCTATTTTATTTTTTCGATTTCTGTTCTCAATCGTTGAGAAAAGTACGCGATACAAATTAACATAACACTAATATAATACAATGTCGACTGTGAATAATAACCCTACCGTAGCGTCGGTTTTCGACGATTGCAACAACACAATGGAGGCGATCGAGAATGATTTTTCGTGTCGGCCGCCCGGCAAAAACAACAAGGTAAAACCGTTCGAGTTTCTTAAATAATTTCTTTTGAAATGAAAAAAAAATTCAGTCACACGTGCTATTATAAAAATTATCAAGTCGGGAAAGCTCACTTTTCCGGCGTGATTCAATTCCCGGTTTCTAAATGTAATTTAATACAGTGCAATAGTCTTGCTATAATTTCAAAATACTTTGGTAACCTTTATATTTTGGTAGTTAGGTACCTTACATACCTATTTTTTAATATTAGCTCCTGCCTACTGGCTAGTATGAATCTATTCAATATTAAATACAAATTAACAAGGCTGGGCAAGTTAATGTTTTTTTTTAACTCGTTAAGTTAAGTTATTTTAAAATAATTAAGTTAAGTTAAGTTAAAAGTTACTCGTATTTTTTATCGTTAACTCGTTAAGTTAAAAGTTAACTTTGAAAAAAAAGTAACTTAACTTAGTGTAAAGTTAAAATTTGCTAATTTGCAAAAATAGAAAATTCCAGACACATAATGTGGTTTATTAGATAGTTTTTCTTTACGTCTAAGAAAATTACTGGGGAAATTTAAAATGATACATCAAAGTAAAAACACATTAAAAATTTACATTATTCTTCGGAAGAAAGTTAACTTTATTTAGATATTTTTGAAATAAAATTAACTTGAAGTTAACACGTTAATCTTGAAAAAAAGCAACTTATTAAGTTAAAAGTTAATTTGAAAAAAAAAGTAACGAGTTAATTAACTTAATTAAAATTAACTTAACGTTTTAACTTAATTTTAATTTTTAACTCGTTAATGCCCAGCCTTGCAAATTAATATAATCTATTCATATTTTTAATTTTTTAATACTAGCTGCAAAACAATAGAATAGTATACATTTAGTAACCTACTTTAAATAGAATAAAATTATTTATTTATTCAACTGTAGTATAAATAAGTATACTTATATATTAATATTAGTCTAGTTAAATGTATTTCTAGTTTTTGTTTTGTATTATGTATATAAGAACTAATATTAAAATGGAAACATTAATGTAATATATATGTATTTATAATTAGGTAGGTAGAATATATAATTTCTTATATATCTAGTTAGAGTTGAATTATATAGTTTAATAATAAAAATAAGTTTTGTTCTTTATAAAATACATGCATTTAGAAAGCTATTGATTGTCACCCTAACTAATCAAAAAATTATTAAAAGTTTATAGGTAGTGCATATTTTTGCATACTATTTAGTAAATTTATAGTTTCAATAGTAAATTTCTTAATTTTTAGAGAATATTTATAATGATTAATGATAAGTTTTTAATACAATTTGAAAATTTGGCAGTAAAAAAAGATATTTAGCAAATACATTATAGATATAGGAATTGTACCTACATTTATTGTGAGAGTTTTTACTTGGTATTATTGTAATATTGTATCGTGTCTTGTTTATCTAGGTATAATTTCCCGTTTAGTAAAAATTATAAAATATTTGTATTTATGAAATTTGTGTGTAAAACAAAAAATTACTTGCATATAGTGCTATAGTACTTTTTATAGAATATAATTATTGTTTAAGTATCTCCTTTTAACTTATACATAGATGTTTTTATAAAATATAATAGAACTAATGTATAAAATGTGAAAAAAAATGTTATTGTTTGTTCTTATAGCAAACACTAACATTATTATTTGACTCTGATGAATCGGAGAACCTAAAGTTTCAATTTATGTGCCTATGTATTTTTAATATTTTTCAATTGCTACTGTAAAAACGTACCAGGAGTCTTGTATTAAATTTTCAAGCTTTTTTACCCAACAAATGACATTTTATTGACAATCAAAGAAAAAAATTGAAAACTCGAAATGTCCACAAACAGCTCAAAATAAAACAAAATATTTTCAAAATTTTATCTTTTAGAAAATTTGAATATAAACAACCAGTGAAAATGTCATTTATTTACAGTAATTTGTTTTAGAGTTTCACCAAAAACAAATTTTACTTAAAAATTCCTGTTTTACCTTAATTGTTATTCTGTTTTTCCCAGCGCTTTTGAAAATGATTGGGAATTTTAAATTTTTACCTTCCGAGTGCTCCAACTATATTGACTATCCCATCGAATACGATACTGTTGAAGACAATCGAAGCAATTTTACTGCCCCAAAAGGTGATGACAGACACAAAAATAAAATAAATAATTAAAAAAAAAAACAATAGGTACATTGTAAAATCAATACATTCATCATCATCACTCCGCTCAGAATCTAAAATGTTCAATTTTTATACCTCAGGTTTAAAAATTTAAAACAAGGTGTCTTAAAAGTAGTTTAATAACTATTGAAATTGTAATACTAATTCCTGGTGGCATGAACAATTACTAAACATTTAATGAATCAATAAATGATGGTCCCTTAAACATGATTTAGTGTCTTATATTAAAAATTTACAATTTTCCTGTCGTGTCACAACTATGTTAGTGTACATTATATTCTGATGAACTGTTATTGAATAAGTATTGTATTTGTACAGTATTGCAAGCAATGAATAAAATAAAATAAATGTATGAAATGTTTTTTTTTTTTTTTGATAAATTGTTATGTGTGGCATAGTAAACTATTCAATATATTTGGCCCTGTTAATACTTAGAGAATGTGTAAAACAAATAACTTATAAGAAAAACAAAAAATAATTGGATTACCTACTTAGAGTTACTTCATGTGAAACATATTTAATATCTATGCATAAGAATTTACTTAATCCAAGAATAGTATCTATTAAAATGTTTGAGCAGTAATACTAAAGTTATTAATTAATTATACAATGACTAATGAGACTTAATTATATATTTTTTAATAGGTAATATGTATTCAAAAATATATAACAGTATATAACTAACTGTATAACTATTAACTAGTAATTATTAATTGCTTCCGCACATTGAAAAAATCATATAATCAATAGATTTATAAATAATTAAAAATTAAATACACTATATATTTATATTAATTTAAATTTATTAAATTTGTTTAGATTTCTAGACGAAAAAAGCTAACCTTAACACCGGAACTAAAACGATTATCATTTGGTTCCATAAAGACACAGTGTTCTTTAAGGTTTGTTAATTGTATATTATTATATTTTTGGAAATCATTAAATGGTTTATAAAGTAAGTACATTTTACTTATAATTGTTGTTTTTAGTGATTCAAGATTCATTTGTTTAAATGGCTTCCAATATTTGAAAAACAAAGAGATTACGTTAGAAGAAAACATGGAGCTCATTAGTGAAAACATATTAGTAGAAAGAAAATATTTCCAAGAGGTTGTTGACAGTTTACTAAGCCAAGTTGTACAGCTGGAAGAAAATATTGACTTGAAAACAGTCGAGATTGAAAACTTGCAACTGTACAATTCAGAAAAATTGAAAATTATTAACTCGCTTACAATGGCGCTTAATGAAACTAAGTGGAAGCGTGACACCATGCAACAGTTTTGTGAAGAACATGCTCCAAATGTACTTTATAAAAGTATGATGTTAGTCAGTTGTGTTTTGGATAAAATATCCGTTTTTAAATCTAATCAGGATAAACTACATTCGTGTTTAATCAATTTGGAAGAAAATTGTCCGTTAGTTAAAGCAGTCAAACAGCTCAAATCTGGTTGTGACAAATGTATTAGTGTCATCGAGAAAGCTACTATCAGAGAGCTGTCTTACGCATTAATGAATGAAAAAGATTTTAATGGCACAATAAAACACACCATTTACAATCTACAAAATTTCCTATTCAATGCACCACTTGACTGTAATTCTGCCGTTGAAAAGATCGGTTTGTTGAAAATCACTCAGGATGGTGAACATAATTTAGAGAATATGATTGCATTATGGGAATTGGTGAAGGATATGTTCCAGAAACATCAATACTTGACAAATAAAATAATTTCACTCAACATGCAGAAAATTGGTTTGAAGTTACAACTTGATGAAATGGAAAATAATAGGAAGGAGCTTGAACTAAAGGCTATGACAGAAATCAAAGTTGTAGAGAAAAAAGAAGAATTATTAAATCAAAATGAATCGATGATTCAACAACATTGGGATGAAATGGATACTAGTCAAGAAATAGTTATGCAAACTCAAAGAGCTCAAGATATTGATCAAGAATTAGAAGATCTTCAAATAGAATATCACAGGTAGTTAATTTTTTGTTGTATTTAGATGACCTTTATAATAATTGTCAATAAGTATATAAAAAGTATATACAAACAACATAGTGTAAATTAATTTGAAATATAGAAAATTGATTCAAATATATTTAAAATATGTAGGTACTTATATTTAATGACTGTTGGGCTTACTATAATAATACTTACCTACTAACCTTTTCTTTAAGTTATTGATATTCTTAATTTTTCATGTAGTTAAATATTTTTTATTGTATTGATCGTTTATACTATGATGTTTTGATTTTTGTTCCTTCAGTCACGACAAATATAACAGACAATTGAAAACAGATTTGTGTCATCTTGAAAATGAATTGGCCGAGTATCAGCTCAAATGTAATCAAATGGAAATTGAAAACAAAAAAATTGAAACTGAGAAAATTAACATTTTAGAAGCATATGCCAAATCTTGGGGACATTACAATGATAAACAAAAGATCAAATACACAGGGAGGCTTATAAAAGACATAGACTCCATTACGCAGGTAATTAATATCATATTCAATGCTAAAATCATGAACTAAGATAATTATTTGGACTGGAAACGATACTTGTATTGGCGGCTCTGTTTGCATATGGACATTCAGTAGAAGAGTAAATTGGAAGGCTACTGTGCCATCTAGGTAACTTAGTATTGTTCTGGCGCCTAATCCCCATAGTCCTATACATTTATTTAATCTTTTATTTATTTATGCAAATCTCTATGACAAAATAACAATTATAATAATTCACCACCAAGGGGTGGTCTGTCAATTTCTCATTTCACACAAAATCCATACGATACCCGCATAACCTTCCCCCCCCAACCACATCGTTTCCAGTCCATATTCTCTTAGTTCATGACTAAAGTATAATTAAATTGTTGTACACAACATTTTAAAAACACTATTACCTAAATTTTTAGTCTCAAAATATACCTACTTATAGAGAACAGTAGTTACTCGTTCTATAATTATTTTAGAATAAAAATTACCATTTAAAGTAAACAATATTTTAGAGATTATGACATCTCCATTTTTTATAATAATGTAGCAACATTATTATAAAAGGCACTATGTAGGTATAACAAAAAAAATACAGTTGTTTAAAAAGGTAAAATTAATATTAATTATTATTTATTTAAAAACAGATAGGTTATTTAAGTTATATTCTTCAAAAATATTATCCTCTTTTGATTTTATAATTAAATTTGAACGCTAATAGCCGATCTGCATCAATGTGTTAGAATTAATTATTAGATCATTTATCAATTATGTAAAAACCAACAACAGGACTGGCATATTTAACATGTAAATCTGTAAAATATATATAGAATTGGTATTTAAATCATTTTTAATTTATCTTGAAAAAAACTGAACTACACTCTCAAACATAACTATAATTACTTTATGGAAATAATTTTCATAAAAAAGAAATATAATTTTTAAAAATTTATGCATGCATAGGAATTTTTTCCTTTCTTAATTTAAAATAATTATTTACTTTAATTTTTCATCATTCTGTTGCTCTTTTTTTTATATATTTTGCTCAATTAATATTAATTTCATGTGTTCTTACGAATAGAATTAGTGATGATAGATTATAATTAGGATTAGTTCAGAATGTTCAAAATTTGATAAAAACAATTTATGGTTAATTCTTTAAGTATGTGCTTGTTTATAATATTTTGCTCGAAAGATGTTAGTAGTATAGATAAAATAACTTTTACCTATTATAAAATATAAAAATAACTAAGACTGAACAGTTTAATTTCATTGTTTAAAGGAAATTAAATCATTAGAAATGGATTTTGAAAAACAAGTACATAACATTACATCTACTGTTCGAACTCCGGTCTTTAGTAAAACTCAAACAAAGTCCGAGAAAACAACACGGTCATATGGAGTTATTGATACATACAAACGGCCAAACAAAAGTTTGTTTCGGGAAGGTGTTGTCCGTAATTTACGTTACTAATGATCGAATTAGTTTACCTCAATAATGTAGTAAGATACCTATTGTTATAACATAATTATACTATGAGTAATTATTTTTTCTAGTTTATTAAAAATGTTAACACAAAATTGTATATGCTTTTCATTTCTCCTGGATTTTAAATATAATGTGTCTAGTCATAAAAATTATTGTAGTATTGACATAGCTCATTTGACTATAATTTTTAATAAGCATTTTGTAGGATATTACAGGAAGACCCACCAATTTAAATAACTTTTGTTCTAAGCAATATTTTTTTTTTTTTAGAATTTATTGGTTCTTGTATGATATAACATTTTTTATTTTTGTTTTATAATACTGAAAATAAAAAAATTGTAAATCTGGTTTTTAGAAAACTTTTGATTCTAAAAACATTTATCTAAGTAAAGTGGTTTACCTATTTAATATGATTTATTAAAATATCAAATTTGTTTTAAGTAAGGCTTCATTAATTTGAAAGGGAATATTTTAAAAAAAATAAATATTAATCTTTAACAAGTACCTATATAAACATTTTCATAACATTTTTAAAAAAAGTTTATACTTTTTGAGTTTAAAATGTTTATACAACTGGTTTAACTTTATATAACAGAAATAGTGAGATTTCAAAATAATAAACTACATGATTAAAATAAATATTTTTACAGTCAAAATTTTTTAATAACCAGATTTAAAATATTTTATTTTCAATATTAAAAAATAAAAAATGTTATATTCTACATGTAGCTCAATCGTGTGTAAATTATATGAAAAAATAAAATAATTAGAACAAAAGTTATTTCTTTTGTTAGGTGTTCCTATTACACCCTATATTGCATTACAACAACTAAAAGTAAATTTAGGCACTTTAGATAATAGCACAAGCGCAATTTCAACTTTTGACTTGGGGTAGGGGGGAGCTGAATATATTAAAGGCATGCAGACCATTGCAATATAGCATATTCAAATTGTATGTCATAGGTTTTTTTTGGGGGGGGGGGGGCTAAGCCCAATTTGCGCATATGGGTAATAGTATTAATTACAACTCATAACTTATAACTCTTTAGGCCTTAAGTGTTAGAGACCAATTTTAAGAATACATTAAATTGTTTAAAAGCTATAAACTAGCTGTAACAATGGCACATTTTACATACAATTTAGTCAAAGCATCTCTATTATAATATTATAAATCATAATATCAATTGTATCTTGATATTTTTTTATAGTCAAATACTGTCCTCTGAAAATAATATTACAATATTAAACCATTCAGTACCTACTACCTACAAATTACATTTGAACATGAATTAATTTTTATGTAAATAATTTAAACCCACTTGATTTGATTTTAATAAGTATTAATTTTTTTTTAATGTGTTTTACAGATAGTGCTGTCTACTGTGTTTTCACTATTCTATGACTGATTTTATTTTATTTACACAATCAATTACATATTATATTAATTAAATTAATTATTTTTTTTTTTGTAATGGAATTTTTTTTAATTTTAACATTATTTGATGTAATAGATTTTATGATATTTGTTTTAGAAACATATTTTTTTTTTTTTTTTTAAACTGTTACTACTGTATGAAATTTAGTTGTTTTAATAATTATAATAAATAGGTGATGATTTAATTTTTGGTAAGCATTGTACCTCATAAAAATATATTCTAATGATAGGACCTACATGTTACTAGCTAATTAATAAATATGTTGGTATTGATTAATTGCTGGACAACATATGATCAATATGAAATTGTTAATTAATTACAAACCGATAAAAGTTAGTTATAAAAATATTGTTTTTTTTTTTTTAATTATTTTATTTGACAATAAAACAAAAATAATTAAGAATAATGATAAAAGTGTATATTATCCTCATTTTTTAATTCCTAAATCCTTATATTTAAAATAAATTGTTTTGATTAATGTTGTAGTAAAATACAGTATGTTATATCAATTATTTTAATTTGATGGGTTTAAATTAGTCTGAAGGTTTGGTCAAACAGAAAGCGGTCTGCCATGGTGTATGGGTACGTTGGTCCGGAGCGGACAGCAGTCCGGTTGTATTATTTTACAGTATCCGCGCGGGCAGACCGCTTTGTGTTTGACTGAGCCTTAAATGTTTTGAAAATACCATTGTGTAATGTTGGTTATTTAATATGTAATTTTGTCCAAATTTAAACATAAAATAACAAAAATTAAGTGTGTTTTTTTTTGTTTGAGATTTTTTTGGTTACAGAATAACCTACTTATGTGGAACCTTGTTGTGAAATTTCAATCCTTAGCTATAAAAGTTGAACATTTAATAAATTTTTAGTTACAAATCATTTTAAAAATTAAAATTTGATAAATGTTGTCAAAAATTGAACATTAAATGCTTATAAAAAAAAGTGTGGCTATGTATTTTTAATATTCAACTACTATTGTAACAATATAATATCAGAAGCCTTGTATTAATTTTTGACCGCACAAATAACAATTTATTGATATTTATAGAAAAAAAATCTAAAAAAATAGTCCTCTAACAGCTCAAAACAAGTCAAAATATTTTCAAAATTTTATGGTGTATAGAAAATTAAAATATACCTATCATTCAGTCAAATTTGCATGTATCTAGAGTCATTCGTTTTATCTTAAATTTAAGAAGAAAATTTTTTATAAATTTCTATCCCAAACTAATTTTGCACATTTTCATGATTTTTACGTATTTTGTGAACATTTGAACATTAATTGCGTGTAAAAAAAATTGTGAATATGGATTTTTAACATTTTTCAAATGTCATTGTAAAAAAAATTATTAGACATTTATTAAATTTCCAAGCTTTCTTACACACCAAATAAAATTTTATTGACATTTACAGTTGAAAAAAAACTAAAAAAAATTGGAAACGGAAAATGTCATGTAAATAGGTTTAGAGTTACACCAAAAACAAAAAACCGATTTTGAGTAAAAATATCCGCTTTACCTTAATTTTTATTCTGTTTTTCCCGACGCTTTTGAAAACTATTGGGAATTTTAAATATTGACCTCCCAAATGCACCAAATAGATAATATATTCACTTTCTCATCGAATAAAATACTGTTGAAGAAAATCGAAGCTGCCCCAAACGGTGATGACAGACACAAAAAAATAAAAAACACATATCATTGTATAAAATCATTAATCAATACATTCATAGCTCGGCTCAAAATCTAATAACAAATTTTATTTTTGCCCAAGTTTTTATGGTAGGTAAAATAAATTGTTCTGTTTTCAAAATATGAAATAAATGTAGTGTTTTAAGAACGACTTTCTAACACACACCTGTAAGATATGTTGATCGAGTGACCTCTCGTATGCTAGACTGATCTACAGTCCACAGTACTAAAATCCTGCTTATAAATCATAATGATTATTTTAGTTTATTATATGTAAATAAATTATTAATATATTATTGTAATTATAATTGCTGATGACTGATGTTACATTATTAGTCGATATAAATATAATTATAAAAAATAATTAAAACGCAGGTACCGAAATGTCTAAATTAACATACCTACACTCAATTTTATTTTAATTTATTAGATCACAAAATATAGGAACGAGGGACCTACCTACTTAATATATTATTCAAATTAATTAATAATTGATAGAAACAGTACAAATGTACTATTTATTATATTTAGGTAGTTATTATAGTATAATTAGTTTTGATAGTTTGATACTTACTTTATGTAGGTAATAATTATTAATCAAATACATAATGTATTCACGTATTTTTATTGGTTGGTAATAAAATAACGTAGCCACGTAGGTAACTTATAAGGTATATAAGGTATACTGGTATAGGTAGTGTCTATGATCTTTGTTAATACTTATATGGTACTGGTACCTAGTTGTAACTTGTAATAACTTAAAAATACCAGTATTGGCAGTATATCACCAAACAATGCATAAGTCATAATGGCGTACCCGATGGAGGATTTTGGGTCCAGACACTCTACTTTACGTTTCATAGTTGAAAATGTTTAAAAAAAAATATGGCACTATAGACTGTTTGTGCTTTGAACATTTTCTATTAAATCCAGATACCTACCTTATTTATATACTTACCTACTTTACGAAAGAGTTAAAAACGTTTTTCACGATTAGGTACCTATGAATTTTATATTCAGATTAAATAGGTACCTATTCAATTCATTCAAAATGTGTAAGTACAATAAGTTAATATTATGCTAATATATTATAACGATAAACTCGAATAATACTTTCAAATTACAACAAAATAACTAAAACCGTTATTCCTTGTTTAAATATCTATCTAAATTCGTCCAAATTTGAACTTAAAATATCCATAAAAAAAACTGTGTTTATAAACGTCTATGGTTTGGATTTGTTGGGAACAGTATAATCAAGGGCGTCCGTTGGAGAGGGGGGACAAAAAGTGCCATTGCCCCCTTGGGAAAACTAACTAACTCCACATTTTTAGCAAATATGTACCTAGTTTAATTTATTTTTTATTAAAAAAACTTCATTAAATTTGTTTGTTGCATTTTCCACTAATGCAAGACTTTCAATTATTATTATATTTGATATTTTCAATTTTTTTTATTACTTTAACCAAGAAACAAAAATTTTCTGAAATAATATATGCTAAATGATTATTTAGGTCATTATTTTGCATAATATCAGTAGCTTTTGTAATAGCAATAATTGCGCAATATCTGAATCAAGATTTGAAATAGGTAACTTCTTTAATTTTTTCAAAATTTTTGCTAGAATAGTATTCGACTGCTGCTAAGCAAGTACCCCACCGGCTATGATTGGCTATGATTGGCTATGATTGGCTAAGGTGGAAGGCATAAATCAAAATATTATAATTCCTTACATTTTAGTACTATACCTACTATAGGAACTTTTAGAAATACTTTTTTTACAGTGGCAAATGTACAGAATCAACTAAGGGACACTGTAATCTAAGTGTTTCAGCTACACGATGAAATCTGTGTGCTA